ATTAATCAGCGAGACACGAAATGTAAAAAAGATGAGCTCTCTATTGCGCCTTTCAGCAGCAATAATAAAAAAAAGTTTTATTAAAAGATTTGGATGTACGGAAAATCGCGAACAAAAGAGAACAAGTGGTCGCACTTATTAACATCGATAGAGAGAGAGAAAGCGAGAGAGAGAGAGAGAGAGAGAGACAAAATTGCCGGAGTATAATCTATTAACTTGAAACCGGACATTGTTGCTATACCCGTTAATGTCATGGATGTTGGTGTACACAGTGATCTTGTTGGGTCCGCTTCTCCGTCTTCGATATAGCTCTTGATTGACTTGTACCGAGCAAACAAGCTCTCGGGGAGCGCACTCACCAACGCTTTTCCGTACATCTTGATGATGCTCTGCCAAAGTACCTGATCTACACTCACAACACGCACAAGCTAGAAACGGAACGTACGAAACTTATGAAGAATTGTTGGCACGAATTTTTTGACGATTAGCCTTCTTACAAGTATAAGCTGTTCAGCCTTTCTGGAGTGTGTGTGTGTGTGTGTGTGTGTGTGGGTGTAGGCGGTGCGACTATGAGTTGAGTGGCAGCACTTTGTGTAGGGATCTACACGAGCAGCTAGCGTTAAGTGGGTGCTTCCCTACTCCTTTTAGTTAGTACTCCGGCGCTTCGGTCTGCGACTGGCCAGCCCTGCAGCACCCGGCCCGTACTCATCCGAACTCGATGACTCACTCCAACTATCCTCCCATTCGCTTGCCGATGGGCACCTCGGGCTATATTGCTCCCTAGACCCCCTCGGATCGGCGAACCGTGGTCTAGCACGCGGCGATCGACTTCCCTTTATTTTCACAGCGTGATTCTTTCGAGCGCCGCCCTTCAACAGTTCCCTCACTAAGTCTTCCCAGTTCTTCATGGCCTCCCCAACCTCATGTGGTAATGTCAGGGTACTCGTTCTCCTATCGGACGACCCCAATACTTCCTCCCCGGTAGCGTCGCTTTCCTCTTCGGAAAAAAATTCGTCCTCCGAAACCGGCTCAAGCGAGCTACTTTCCCGCCGCCGGCGCGACGCAGAGCGAGGACAATCGCTTCTACCGCGTCCGTCTATGTGGCGTCCGAGCTGCCGTCATGCCCTCAGCGCACAGCGCATCCCGTCTACCCGCCTGCATCCCCAACGCGGCCTCTTCTACGCGATATGAATTATTCGCGTTCTCAGATAACGCTGCTCGCACTTCCCTACGCATAACCAATCCAGGCAGGCTCGCGACGATGTTCCACGCCTGTCCGAAAACGTTAGACCCTCCCGCGACACTTTGGAACGCTACCTCTCCGTGAGGCGCCAACTCTTTCCTCGTATCGGCGGGAGCCGTCGCCCCATCATTAGACGCAATTTAGACATTATCCTGCCCGTCCTCGCTCCTATACTCTGACCCACTTCTCTGCGCCGCAACCGGTTGCAACCGCTCGTCCGCGGATGCCAACCTCTCTCGCCTGCGAGTTAACGCAGGCTCGATCCGGCCTTCCACACGTCCGTCGCTCACTCCGCTTCTATCCGGCTGCAGGTCCATGTTGACTTCACGCGATTCCTCCCGCAGAATACCCTCCGGTGGGCCCGGCATAACGCCCAAAAAATCACTAGGACTCAGGGGCGGACTAAACTCCGGCCGCTCACGCGAGATCATATAGCGCAGCATGTGCTCCTGAAGCTCCCTGAAGCTACCCGTCATGCTAAGGCCATAGCTCTTAAAGAGACTCAGTAACTCCGCGGGCGGCGTTTCATTGATTCGCCGCTTAAGGGCCCGTACTGATCTACCCTTTAGAATTTCGCGCATAATCGCGCTCGCCGTCCCGCTCGGCGGTATTTTGACAAGCTGCTTGCCTCTCGCGCCGCTCGAACACTCGATCCACCGTCACGCTCGCGATGTGGGCACAACCGACGATCGCGTCGAGCAACTGTCTCAATTATATACAAAAAACGAAATTAGACAAAAAGAAACACTGATGAACAATACTAACTTGTCTTAAATTACCGTCCGGCCTACACTCATCATTGGCGGATGCGACTTCTACGCATTCGCTTTGACACTGGTTTGTCCGTTACAACTCCGATCAATAATATAAAATAATATTTCAGGCAGTGCGAATTATACGCACTGCTCTGAGTCCTTAATCTCAAAATAAAACACAAATACTAACTACTCACTCTCGCCACGGCTCCCAGGCAAGGGCGCACCTTAGGTAATCCGCCAATCTAAACAGATTAGTACCCAACGGCCGTACCGATCAAGCGTCTAACTGACCGCGCTGACAATAACTGTTTCTTAAATTGACTCGTTTATTCGTCCTCTTACAAGGTGGCCGGGAAGATGCCAATGACGAGCCTCGCTTTGGACGCCCAAGCACGTCAACAACTGATGAAAACGTTCAAGCAGTGAAGAAAATTGTTCTGGAAAATCGTCGAATCACTATCAGAGAAGTTGCTGAGGATATTGGTATATCGTTTGGCTCGAGCCATGAAATTTTTTCTAACGTTTTCGGCATGAGACGTGTGTCAGCGAAGTTTGTTCTGAAATTGCTAAATTTTGACCAAAAGAACCGTCGCATGAGCATCGCTCAAGAACTGTTGAATGACGTCAACGACGATCCAGATATACTCAAAAGGGTCATAACTGGTGACGAATCATGGGTATATGGTTATGATATCGAAACCAAAGTCCAATCGTCCGAATGGAAGAGCCCAGATGAGCCAAGACCGAAAAAAGCACGCCAAGTTCGATCAAATGTCAAAGTTTTGCTCACTGTTTTCTTCGATTACCATGGCTTGATGCATCAGGAGTTCTTACCATATGGACGTACGGTCAATAAACAGTATTATCTTGAAGTTATGTGCCGTTTGCGAGAAGAAAACGCCCAGAATTGTGGAAAAACAATTCATGGCTTTTGCATCACGATAATGCTCCTGCTCACTCATCTTTGCTTGTGAGAGATTTTTTGGCTAAAAACAACACCACAATCATGCCTCAGCCACCATATTCACCGGATTTGGCCCCATGTGACTTTTTCTTGTTCCCAAAACTAAAGAGACCTATGAAAGGACGGAGATTTGCAACGATTGAAGAGATAAAGACTGCATCGCTGGAAGAGCTCAAGGCTATACCGAAAAGTGCTTATGAGAAGTGCTTTGAGGATTGGAAAAACCGTTGGCATAAGTGTATTGTATCTGAGGGGGATTACTTTGAAGGGGACAACATAAATATTGATAAATAAATAAATATTTTTTCTTAAAAATACAAAGTCACCTTACTTTTTGAACACATCTCGTATGTATGGTGAGTAGTGGCCTTCGACACGTTAGGTCGATGACTCACTCGCCCGTGCCTGAGCGTAGCAACGATAACACAACCATGCTACAAATTCGACCACGTATCTCTCTCTCGATCGGCGCGCTCTGTGAACCCGAGATGTGGAATGTAAACAAACACTGTTCGAGCTGCGACTTAACGCAGCTCTGCCGATCGTTCGATCACCTCCCCTCTCGGCCTCAACCGATCTTTTCTAATTCCTTTGTTTCCGCGAATTGCTTTTCTACTTTATAATTTCGCGCCCTGTCTCTCTTTCTTGCGACTATTTCAATCACGATTTCCGCGAGCTCCCCACAAGGGATGCCATGTAACACGTACGTTAGTAATTTTGAATTCCACGTGGAAAATAAGCCCGAACAACGTTGCGTCACAAATTATTTTAAGGGGAGAGGCTCGGAAGGCATGTTCGCTTCATCGCGGAAAATCAACGAGGGCTTATGTCATCCGGTAGTGTCAATAATCGCGGTTTACCTAATTACGAGAGATAGGTTGCACAAAGAAACTCATCCTTTCGAATAGTTATTTATATTTTATTACAACTCTCCTTTTTTACATGCGGCGTTCGACGTGTGCGTCGGCCAAGTCCGGGCTAGTCCGTTCCGTGCGAATTAACGCACAGGAGACAGAACATCGCCTTACAATTTTCCCGCGAGTTCCCGCGAGTGCTGTGTGAATTCACGCACGCAGCCACTCGTCCGCATCCGGTCGATACGATGCTCAGAGAGAGAAGTCGAGGCGCGCACCGAGAAATGGAAAAGGGTACCTGACCTTAGGAGGAAGCGCTGCTGTGGAAGTCCACGTCCGCTGGGCCAACTACGTAGTCCTCGAAAAAGTGGATATCTATGTAAGCGCAGCTGGTCTTCCTCTTCAATACTTTACACTCGTTAGCAGTAACTGGTCACGCATTTTTTCGTCGCCAGGCTTACCTAGCTCGGAATTCGTTGCTGGTCAAAGTCATACTAATACCGCGATCTCGCGCTTTCCGCGGCGTCTTCCGCGCCCCTCCCTATAGGTACCCAATCGGCCGAGCGCCGCCGGCTACGCACACATGTGCGACTCATGCCGACGACACTATTTTTCTCTCTCTTCCTCCTCTGCTTTCCGCTCTCGCTCCATCCGTCCAGCGCCAGATATCTCCGCCGATCAGGAATCAAACCTGCAACAAAGCCACATCGAACGTCGATACTCGGTTTTGATCAACCGAGACCGATGTGGCAGCGACTCAGGGGAAGGCACGCGGAAGAGAGAGAGAGGCGAAGAGGTCGAGCGAACTCAACGGTCGCTTTGCCCGACACAAGAGAGGAAATTGAAAATTGCGACCGATCATAAAGCACTTGTCTTTGCATTCACACAACGTTCCGACAAAGAGTCGCCGCGCCGATGACGGCAACTCTGCTACATCTCGCAATACACTACCCAGATCGAACACCTCCCGGGCCCTCAAAACGTCGTAGCTGACTACCTTTCTCGAGTCAACGAAGTTCGCCTTCCCCCCGAAATCAACACGCTCGAGTTAGCGAAAGCTCAAACCGAAGATCCCGAGCTTGCAGAGTTTCGTCAAAACCCTGAAAAACACTTGCTGAAACTCATTTTTCTGGTGTGAGGTCACTGACCAAGTCATTAGGCAACGTTACGTCTGGCCAGGCATGCACAAAGACATCAAGCTTTGGTGCAAAACATGCCTAGACTGTCAGGCATCCAAGATATCCCGACATGTCAAAAACAACCCCGCACCTTTCGTTGCACAAGACGGCCGTTTTCAACATGTCTACCTGGACCTTGTCGGCGAGCTCAAACCGTTAGAAAGCTTCATCTACTGCCTGACAATGATCGATCGATTTTCGCGCTGGACGGAAGCGGTACCAAACCGCGACAAATCGGCGCAAACAGTCAGCCGAGCCTTTTACGACCACTGGATGTCCAGATTCGGAGACCCCGAGGTAGTTACAACTGACCAAAGTTCAGAATTCGAGGCACGGCTCAACAAAGCACTCCTTTCACTAATCGGCTGTCGACGCATCCGTACTACGGCCTGGCACTCCAAAGGGAATGGCATGATCGAATGTTGGCACCTCACCGTTAAAGCGGTCATTATGTGCCACAATGACGAGAATTGGGTCCGAACACGCTTGTCTATTCTCCTCGGGCTGCGCAACCACGTCCGCGAAGAAACAGGTGCCTCCCCAGCAGAACACGTATACGGCACCGTACTATGCGTTCCCGGCGAATTCTTCCTCGAAGGTGAATTTACCCCCGATCCGCAGATATTCCTCGAGGAGTTCCGCGAACACATGCACAATGTGAGACCGATACCAGTCGCACATAAGCACAAGTTCCGTGCGTTCTTTTTCAAAGACCTGCATACTTGCACGCATGCCTGGCTGCTCACCGCGGCAGTCAAGAAGCCCCTCGAACGCCCTTACACCGGTTCACATAAAATCCTTGAGCGCATCAACGATTTAAACTATAAAATTGAGGTGAAGGGCACTCCCAAGGTCGTGTCAACGGAGTTGCTGAAGCTGGCACACTACCTCGCCAAATCCAATAGTGCACCGACACTTGCGTCCTCACAGCGGACTACTGCCAACACCGTACTTCCCGCTATCGATTTGCACATCACCCGCTCGTTGTTAGTGTAATTTCCTGGTACGCCCAGCTCACCTACCTTGCAGTGCATCGCATCGAACCGATTTAGCCCACCTCAGAGCCAAGCACCATCGCAGAGCCTCGCCACGGAACCCGCCGCCTCGAGCAGCCAACCCCCACTCGACCAATAACCCAATAACCCATGAAATACTGCACAGTCGTCCCGACCAACTTTAAGAACCTACCCCTCTGAGAAAATCGCATGCCAGAAGATCACTGTAAACCTCGCAACGAACGAGATCTTCCTGATACCTAAAGAATAGTTTGGCAATGCCTGATTACTTTTAAGTGTAATTATAAACATTTTTGTAATTTCGTCTATTTATTATTCATTAGAACAATCTCCTCCGTGCGATCCTTGTAGAGAAGCAACGTGTAGGGATCTACACGAGCAGCTAGCGCTAAGCGGGCGCTTCCCTACTCCTTCGAGCATCGCTGCCACCATGTAGGCGATCAGACCAGTACCGCTCTGTCCGCCGAGACGGCAGGTTGCTCCCTATATCATGTTACGTACCTCAATAAATAAGATTTCAACCAAATCTACAGCTGGTGTGTGTTCTCTCTCCTTCGGACTGGCATCTGGACGATCTTACTGGCGATGATCGCCACATTTGCCAAAAGCGAACGCCATCTATGAGTGATTCCGTTCCTTTTTTTTACGAATAGGCGGGAACGTCATTCTTCGAAGAATAACACGGGCTCCCGAGATATCCTAACCTAAAAGTGCAAAAAACACTGTTTGTGACTAAATTTGAGGTTTTGTCAGATCTTTACTAAAATTTTTTTTGTAACAGCCAGCGGCATCTTAAAAAAGTACTCTAACCCTTCAAAACCCTTCTTTCAAAAAAAAAAATTTTTTTTTTTTCGTCGTGATATTGATTTTTAAAGTTTTGTATTTTGACGATATTTGAAAAAATAAAGTTGACCTTCAAACAACCTTGAAAGTCCCATTGATGGTCAAGTTTGATATCCTCGTCAGTTAACCCCCTTTAAATCATACAACTTTTACCTGAAACATTTTTCGTATACTTGGCAATGTTTTTAGTTATTCTACAGTCTAAGTTAACATAGCACACTCTGTATATATGTATATATATATATATATATATACATAAATACAGTTGACATGGACCAAACTGTAGTCTTTCAGCCTGGAAATATCTTGTGAAGAGAATCCTGCCCTTTCTGCCTACTAGCGAAATCGTCAAAATATGAAACTTAAAACATCGATATCTCAACGAAAAAAAAAAGATTTTTCAAATTTGAAAGAAGGATTTTGAAGGGTTAAAGTTCTTCTGTGAGATGCTGTCGGCCGTTTAAAAAAAATACTTTTACTAGAAATTTTACATAACCTCAAAGTTAGCCAAAAACAGTGTTTTTTGCACTTTTAGGTTAAGATATCTCGGGAACCTGACGTGATGGACAAAAACTGCCGTCGGATTCAGATTCGGGAGTATCTAGTCACGGTTCTAGGTCAGTTCACTTTTCAAATTTTGTTGCCCTGTGTAATTGTTGCGTGCAGAGCTCCTACGTGTATTTTTTGTGCAATAGCAACCGTCGTTCTCGCGTTAGTGCAATTTCACCTAATAAGGGAATATCATCTACCGATTCGTCTACGAATCTCTTTCCCGTTCACGAAGGTGATAATTTTGACTAGTTTGAAAGGTGCGTTATTGCGCAATTAATACGAGTGTTAAAAATTCTACCGGTTGCCTTTGTCTCTCATTTGTACCGAATTCGTCGCCAACGTGCTATATTTCTCTAGCGTCAGTGTTGTGCTAACCGAACGTCGAAGTGTAATTTTCTAGTGTTACTCTTTTGTATTTCAATAAAAAGGGTTTTTTATGCCGGTTGGCTTTTTCCCTTTACGCGTTGTGTTTTCATTCGTTCCTCTTTTTATTAAAAAATCAAATTTTTATTTTAAATATTAAATAAGCACTAAATACTGCCGATATTATTTACACTGCCGCTCACATAAATTTGGCCACCCCATCAAAAATCTGTCAAACTTTGAAGTTTTGTACCTCTATAAGGAATCAACCGATCTAAAAAATTCAAAGTACGTTTTGAAGCTTGTACCAAGCCCTTCAATACATGATGAAAATATTTCAAAAAATAATGTTTAATTAATTTTTTATAAACAAATAAAAAAAATTTTTTTCGTCCATTTTCAAATTGGCAAAACTTTGTTAAAAATAATCGGATTAAAAAAAACAAAAGGAGGTTAAAGCTATGGTACTCCTCTTTAAAATGCGCTATGCAGAATTTCGGTTCATTTATTTTTTAGGGAATTTTTTAATTTTATGTAAAAAAAATCACATTTTTTTCAACAGCTCATAACTCAAAAACTATGAGTCAAACTAAAAAAATCATAAGAGCAAAAATTATGCGTTTTTACTCATCGAATACGAATTCAACGTAAAATATTCAAATTTAAAAAAAAAATTTCTTTTTACCAGGAAAAAAAGATTGTATCGTACCTATGATAATAGTAGTTTGTATACAATGAATGCACGCATATATATACCTTGATATACACTGCCGCTCACATAAATTTGGTCACCCCATCAAAAAAAAAAAACTATAGTAAACTTGTAACTCTCCTTGAACCATGGTCACGAAAAATGTTTGTAAAAACAAGACACTGTTTCGCATATACATAGCAGTGTATTGCGGCGCAGAAATCCCGCAAAACTTATAGTCTTTACTTTTATATCAAGGTATATATATGCGTGCATTCATTGTATACGAACTACTATTATCGTAGGTACGATACCATTATAAAGTAGATTGTATACCGATTGTAAAAAATATCCATTATTTATTTTAATCAATATTACGTATATAAGTCGTATAACTCATTATACATATAATATTTCACTAAAAGTTTAATAAATAATTGTAAATAAAAATCTTTTTCCTGGTAAAAAATTTTTTTTTATTTTGAATATTTTACGTTGAATTCGTATTCATTGAGTAAAAACGTATAATTTTTTCTCTTATGATTTTTTTAGTTTGACTCATAGTTTTTGAGTTATGAGCTGTTAAAAAAAATGTGATTTTTTTTACATAAAATTAAAAAATTCCCTAAAAATAAATGAACCGAAATTCTGCATAGCGCATTTCAAAGAGGAGTACTATAGCTTTAACCTCCATTTTGTTTTTTTTAATCCGATTATTTTTAACAAAGTTATGCCAATTTGAAAATGAACGAAAAAAATTGAAATTTTTTTTTTTCATTTGTTTATAAAAAATTAATTAAACATTATTTTTTTAAATATTTTCATCACGTATTGAAGCGCTTGGTACAAGCTTCAAAACGTATTTTGAATTTTTTAGATCGGTTGATTCCTTATAGAGGTACAAAACTTCAAAGTTTGACAGATTTTTGATGGGGTGGCCAAATTTATGTGAGCGGCAGTGTAGATGCAACAAAACATTGGTGCCTCCTGTAAGGTGCGAAATCCTCACACATCATCACTCTTTCTCGTTTCGCGACACCGACGTTCACTCGCACAAGTCGTAACTGGTGCAGGGAAGAACGTGTGACAGCGCTAACTTCATCATCTATGCACGTGCTCGCTAGGCTAAGATATTTAAGCAGAGCACGTGCATTAGAGACTGTAGTGCGTTAGAGAAATTAGAGTCCAGTGCAGAATGAGAGAAAGCTAGGGGGAGAACAAGAGGAAGCAATTCTTCGACTCAAAGGATTTTGACGCGAGTTCAAGGAACTTAAATACGTTGCGCAGAGACACGCACATCAGTCAGCAGTGACAGCGACCGCTAGATTCACCCGCGTTGAATAACCGAAGCTAATTACTTCAGTGCACTTCTTTACGACTGCTCCTTTTGCAATCGGTTATATCATTGGAAACTTCCTTTATGATGAAATCGGTGAAATTTTTCTTTGTTATGCTATTCGGGCGAAAAGAAACAATTAGTTTTTATCTTGGTTGTAGATTTGTCAATGAATAGATAGTTTGCTTTTCAGTTTGTGTTTATGGTGCGTAATTTAACTTTGTAATGCGGTACATTACAAGGCTTTGCCTGAGAGTGTTGCACTATTCGCAACACCTCAGGAAAGTCAACCCGTCCCGGACACTAATTTTTTCCATATTCGCCTACCCATGCCCGAGAAAAGGACGCAACAAGTTGAAGAACACGATCCGACGGATGATTGAAAAACAGAGCGCACGACGAGGAAAAGAGAGCGCACGCCCACATACACTGCCAACCACGTGTTGCTGGCTGGAAAGAAAAACACGGGAAACTCCCAGACACTAACACGAGCACTTCGAAGAAGCTGACACTCCTGGGGCGACCGGAAAATAGTCGATGACGCGGCAGCCGGCAATCAGCTGTGACAGGTTGCTGCGCACCATCGGCGACATCCTGAGCGCCACACACAAACACTGCTTCCGATCACAACACCTGGAGACTCACGCACATAACACCTGGGTACACACTTATATTACACGACCAAAGGGGGCGCTTCAGGAGGCGCTTCGGAGACCAGCAATAGAGCACGAGGTTGACACGCGGGAGCGAAGGCGGTCATCTAAAAGAGCGATATAGACTAAACGAGAGGGAGAGAGACAGTCTAAACAAGAGCGAGCGAGACAGACCATATGAAGCGAGCGAACTAGAATAAATACCATACAAATCAAAATGCAAATGCGATGATGAAGGCACTACGAAGATAAAACCGACTTCAATTATTTTATCATTGCAAATAATTTAACGATGTGACTTAGAACATGGAACATATTAAAATTTAAAATTAGAAAAAATACTTGTACGCGGCCGCGTACAAGTACTACTCCCAATGATTTATCTGCCTTGATAGATAAAGCACGCCAACATCTTAACATATAAGAACAGGTGAATGTTAAAATGAATGAGGACATTATTGTGAGGATTTTAGAAAGGTGTATTCCTCCAGGAATTTTATTCAGATGGCAGGATAGGAAGGATCCTCGCAAGCTTGCCACGC